ACATATTAATTAATAATAAAATCAAATCAACTCAAATTTCCCTGCCCGAGCCCTCACATATCTCTGCTCTCTCTCTCTATATCTATCTCTTTCTCTTCTTTGTTTTCTTTTGTTCCCTTAAAATAAAGCAAAATAAGTATAATTAAATTATATTTATTTAACTCCAAAAACTCATATCGTTTATCATCTCGCCAAGTTAAGCATAAAACTTTACTTACGTCCTACAACAATCATTAAAACTAAACTTATTACATTTATAGGAAAAGTTTAAGTATGTACTTATTATGTATATATGTTTGTATATCCTCCACCTTTGTTATCGCAATAAATGTCTATCGAATCAATAATTTCAAAGAATAAATTATTGCAGTTTAACATATTAATACTAAAAACACAAAGTCCCAATTGAGTGGTAATGTAATTGATGAATAGGCTTAGTTGTGAATATTTTATGAAACAATATGCAAGTTGTTTACTAATGTCTACAATTCCTTTAGTCGCAGAAAGCATTTACCAAACGCTATGAATTCGTTCATTAATAGTAAGAAAAATACTATTGCAAATCTTGGAAAAGTATTGCAGCTGTGATTTTTAATACTTGATCCTTTTTTTAGACTTTTTATAACCGATTAATAGTTATAGAAGGAAAATCTAAGCGAAGTTCGGATACATTTGTTTGTCTATTTTATATCAATATTTGTAATATAGGATGCTGCTATTAATCGCGTAAAACTGCCGATGTAAAATATCTCTAAACCACAACCATTTCGTCCTCGTAACAATTAAAAATTACGTCTTTCAAATCAATACAAAGTAATGAAAGTGAGCAAGATGGAAATTAATAAATAACAATTTCATCTGTTTGATCTAAATCAGTAATTAGAATTAGTCCATCTTTATACAGACTTTTTACTAAAGTAGCGGTTTGTCCCGAGAAAGTGTACTTTTTGAAAATTAAATAGTTTTGATATTTTAAAACAAAGCATTTTAGGTTTAAAATAAGATTGATTGATTGATTAACGACCCAAGTTAAGATCTTTTGTGCAGCCCTTTTGATTCACCATTGGAGATTAAGTTCTCCTAATGTTCTTGACGGTGAGAGATTGAATATTTCATTAGGCGAAAGAAATTCGCCTCCCAGAATACTCACTCTGAGAGTCCATAGTGGCTGACAGTCACAAAGAACATGTTTAGAGTTTTTCATCATGCATTTCACAGAATCTGCATAACCTCGTGACATTGTTATCAAGAATGTGCTGGTCCACAGTGTCCGTTATAAAGTACCTTTAGTAATCTTAGGTCACTCTTGTTAAGTGACAGTAACTTTTGGGATTTACCTTTTATTAGCCTTTTGCCTGTCTGAGTCCTGATATTGACTCCCAGGGGCTTAGAAATTCAGATGGAACATATGAATCGCATTTTTCCCCAATGTATGCTTTGGGTTACTAAAGAATGGTTCTGGTCCAATAAATGTGCGCCTGTTTGCCAGACAATCTGCTCCTTCATTGCCAGAGTGTCCTTCATGGTCAGGTACCCTACATAGTGTAAGTTTATTATGTCTACCCAGTTCATTTAGAGATGTCAAACACCCGAGCTGATTTCATATGACAATAAAGCCTTAAGGGCTGCTGGACTATCCGACATCACAAATATTTGTAATCCTCCCAGTTTTCTCCTCAGACATTCTCTAATGCAAATAATAATTGCATATACGTCTGCCTGGAAGATTGAGCGGTAATTACACATATGAATGGCCTTTTGAAAATTTGGGCCATACTTGATCAGCCAGTTCCTCAATCTTTCCTTACATCATTTAAAAGTTAGATCAATTGCATACTGCTTCCTTTCGATATGGTTTTGTCATTAGATCCAATTACAAATATAATCAGATCATAAACGTAATCATAAGTTCCTTGAGGACAGAATCTGGTGGCCCAGTTGATTCTCGATATACCAAATAGGTCAAACCGATTGACTGTGAATGTTAGCATTCCCAGCGTTCAGTTTTTAATATATGCCGGTACTAGGCGTATTATCAAAGAGTCCTTGAATGTCAATAAATGAGCACATGGTTGAAGCCTAGAGCCTTCTCAATTACGGTCGTTAAAGTTTATCATAAAATTAGATTTAATGTAAATCAAATCCTTTATAATTACTCCTAATTTTAAAATAGTGAACCAGTATTTTAAAATTAGAGTGTCGAACGACCTAAAAAATACGCTAAAATGGTGGATGCTGTACATATCATATAATTGAAATTGTTCAATTTTCTTTAATACATATTACTTTGGTTTAATAAATACAATAATTAATTTATTTATTTTAGCTTTATGTTTCCTTAATTTGGCAAATGTGTCCATAATCCTTTTAGGAGATTATTTTCACAAGTATTGGGAATAAATAAATTTTTCCCTCCGTAATCATAAAGTTAGCAATAGCTTATGCATGGTTTATTACGCATATTTTTCATAGAAAGTTTCTCTAATATACCATTCATAACTTTATTAACACGTTGACGCTCACTCAAAAGATGATAAAAACACTTAATTTTTGATAAATTCGAATACTTCGTTAAATTCCACGAATACTGCATAAATATAAACTCTAATCCAAAGTATTGATGATATACTCCGATTAATAGATAAATCAATATCTAAAATATAACACTATATGACGACTAAAGACGTCATTTGAATCTATGAACCTCCATGCTTGACGTCTATAGACATCATATACGTCAACGTGTTAATCGTTTAAGAATACAAGATCTAAACTGTTCAACAAAATAAAACAAAATTAACCTATTCTCAGGCAAGGCATTGTAATATATAAGTTTCCTATATACATATATTGCTATTTAGTTTTATCGTTTTAAAATTTAATACATCCACAAATATTTCTTAATTTTTTATAATTTTTCTCTTCGATTGCATTAGACATTCAATATTTAGTTCCAGGATAATTTGTATTATTTCCACAACTTATTCTTAAAAGCACGATTATATCATTACACGTTCTATTTTGGTGTTGAGATCAATGGCTTTTGTTCAAAATTGTCACCTTCGGAAATGATTCTATGGAAACGTTTTGGAGTAAAACGTTTCATTCACTTGATTTAGAAAAGCATTAGAAAACATACACACCTTCTTAAGAACAATTCTGAAACTTTTATCTGTTTCCATTGAACTAGTCCAGAACCAGTGTATAGCTAGTTCCAAAGAACTAATTCTTGGAAACTCTTTGGAAATACTTTGGAATTACAACAGAATTCCACAGAAAGTCTCCATCAATTAATGGCGTTACTAGTTCCAAGGTTGCTGTTCTAGAATCTTAAATAGTTTTGGTTGCAGTCGTTTTAGAACTAGTAGCTTTTAGCTTTTAGAGAACTGATGTTCAATACCTTCCAAGAAGTTATTTTAAATGTGAGATCTAACTTCCAATAAATGGAAATAATCGTCTATATTAAATTATAAAGGTCATAGCCCATATAGTACAGTTTTTGTCATCCAAAAGAACGAACATTTTACCAAACTTAAAAATGGATGTTATTCTTTGAAAATTCAATGAAATATTTTTAATTAGAGCATTTGAAACAATTGTATAATTGTCTAATACTTTTCGAAGAAATGCATATAAATAAATTAATATGAAATATAGAAAAGTAAAATAAACTAGCATCCATATTAAATCCATTATAAATAATTGATCATATAAAAATTTGGTATTTAACATTAATTATTTTATTTGTGGTTTATAAAATATATAATTTTATATTTTTGTTGCAATACCTACATAAATAATAAATTGTTGTAAATATCTTTTATCTAAACTTTTTTTTAATTGATTTATATAATTTTTCTTTTTTTTGTAACAAACTCACCTAAAAACTGTGTACGAAACACAATATATAAAAAAAATCAATTCTACATCAACAACAACAAAACAAATCAAAAATTTAACACATCTTTACTTTACAACTTTAAATTAAAATCTATTCTACTGAACTCTACTCTACTATACTTCATTATTTCTTATTTTTTTTTTTTGTTCAATTTGTTTAACGATAACGACACTTCTATTTATTACACTTGCAATTAAAAAAAAAAATCAATCTATATACAACTATACACCTCTTTAGACCTGTCCAGTATTTCCACTTGCTTTGGCTACCGGTGGTCTACATGCTGGTATATCGGGTTTAACGGATCCTTTATTAAAGGGCGCACATTTACCAGGAGCAGTACCAGCACACCATCACCTACAGCAATTGCCCGATGTGAGTTTTGGTTGAACGAAATTGTTTGAAAGCATTGCATTAATTTTTGTTTTTCTACCCCTGTAATAAAAAAAGTACCACCACCACCACCCCCCTTTATTAGCCCCACTCACAAACCCCTACTTTATTGTTCGGTAATTTCAAATGCTTGATTATTTTTATGAATACCACATAAAAACAGGAATATTTATTAATTTATATGAAATGCAATTTTATTTTTGTGTTTCCTTTCCACATTTAACGACTAAAGTAAAAAAAAAAAAAAACTAAAGAGTCTTTCCCATTGTGTGTGTAAAAAGTAAACAAAAAAAATAGTTTGGTTTTAGTGTTGTGTATCCCCCCTTCCTACTACTACCCTTAGCTAAATACTTTAAGGTCCTGCGTTTAAAATGTTGCAAGAAATAATTGTAACACATTAGTACAATGGTAGCCATGTCACGAATTTGTAATATTTTATTTTCTTTTTAATTGATTTATTAATAATTTGGAAAAACTTGTAAAGACTAAAAGAAAATCGTTAAAAATAATAAACTTTTTATTTCATTATAATCACTTTCTAAATTTTCATTCAGTTTTTAAGTGATCAGAAATCATAAAAATTAAATCGCATTTTAGTGAAATTCCCCAAATAGCAGACACAAACCTGATTTATTTTAAATGAAAAATCTTTTTTAGATACCAATGTTATCATTTTAAAACTCATCCAGAAAGGGCGGGGTTTTGTGTTGGCAATCAAATGCCAATTAATAATCAAATTAGTTAATCTAAAAAAATTAATCTGATGGTAATCCCTTTTGATGTTTTTGAGTACAAGATTAAACTTCTCAGTGTTGCCATACAAAACAACAGTAAACGTCATTGTTTGTTATCAAAACAGTGCATATTTTATAAAAAGAAGAAGACAATTGTAAATTTAATATGAAAATTAATGAAAACATAAATTTAAAACAAAAAAATGTATTTTGAAGTCTCCATGATTTATACTAATAAATAAATAGAACATTTTAATGTTTATATTTATAAAAATTGCATCAATTTTTTGCATCAGCTGTTTACACTTTTGCATTTCATGCTTAAGTTTAAACCATCTCCATTGGGCGCTTAAACTTGCAAACAAAATTAACTAATTGAGTACTCATAAACAACTTTCCATAAAACATTGATCACTCTGACAAATTATCTAAAAATGGACCAACCATTATAGCAACTAGTAGCGATAATGTAATTTCTGCAATAAATAAATGTTATATTCTAAATCCTTATAACTAACGAAGTCCATTTAGCTATATCCGTCTGTCCGAGTATTTGTTGTAATCAAGTTCCTGCTGACCATAGATATATCCAGACTTGCTACCTATAATCCATTTTCGATAGAATTCAAAACAATTTGCAATTATTACTTTATTAACGATTTTCTTGGTCTTTTCATAGTAATTTTTATTTATTTATGTTCTTTTTAAAGTTTTTACATCAATTATTTTTTAATGTTGAAAATGCATTTTTCTAACCTAAAATTATTGTCAATTTTGAAATGCCTGCTACTTTGTTTTAGTCAATTATTTTGCATGTTCATTAATAATGATTAAAAATTATGAAAAAATACACAATTCTCTAGAAATACACACATAGAAACATAATGTAAATGAAAAGCAAAAAAAAAAAAAAATAATAATAGAAAACATATAAAATGAAAAGATGCTGTAGGTAATTGGTGTACAAATGAAAATCCTTTCAAATGGCCCTCGAATTTCTGTCTCTCCACTTCCATTCTATCCACTTTTGTCTCATCTCTCTAGATGACATATTGATTTCCTCTCTACACATACTTGTACATAATTGTGATCTACTACTACTACTAGTATGTATTAATGCAGTTTCCAGCTTGTGAAAGTCAACCCAGCTCCATACCACCAACGCAGTTTGTAAATTTCCTACTTTTCCTGTTCCTTTAACCAATCTACTATCATTTATACATATTGCCAAACTCAACTCTCTACACTTTTTTTCATAAAATACACACATAAGTAATACAATCACACACAATTAAAATTAGTACTACGTCTTTAAAACAACATTTGTTTTTGTTTTTTATTTTTTAACAATTTCTTCTTTTAATGTTTTTTAATAATTTCTTTTAACATTGGTTCGCTAAAATGTTTGAAAAGACAAAGTGGTTTAGTTTATATAAAACTAAAACTGGGTCATTTTTAATAATTTAATGAATTGTATAACGAAATTAAATTTAACCACTTTTGTAAAACTGGAAATGTACATGCTGTAAATTGAAATTGCATTTTTATTATCTATTTTTATTGTTGTAATTTCTGTGTTCTTTTTTTTAATTATTTTATTTTCGTTTGATTTGTTTTTGGTTTTAAATTACTTTGAAATTGATATTTTTGAGTTGAATTTGTTTTAATAATTCTTTACTCTTTATATTGTATTTATACAGGTGGCTAAAAATCCGTTGGCTAGTTTGGCAGCATTAGGTTTAGCCGGTATGGCACCGGCTAATACTGGCGGTCTTAATCCCACAGGTTGGTATTTAAGAATATATTGAATTTCCAATTAATTACTCAATAATTTTGTTTTCCTTTTTTTAAAAAAGCAGCTTTGGCTGCTCTAGCTGGTTCACAGTTGCGTACCGCAAATACAAATCGTGCTCAGCAGCAACAGCATGAAATGACTGTTTCAAACGATTTGATCGGTTGCATTATTGGCAAAGGTGGTACTAAAATTGCCGAAATACGTCAGATTTCTGGTGCAATGATACGCATTTCAAATTGTGAAGAACGTGAAGGTGGCAACACCGATCGCACCATCACCATCAGTGGCAATCCAGATTCTGTAGCCTTGGCACAATACTTAATCAATATGAGGTAAGTTTTCGTCAATGTCTTGTTTTCTTTTGTTTTCTGTTACTTGTTCGTTCATCACACTTTACGTTTATGTGTCCATAATGTTGGTCCTAATAAATCAATATTGTATAACAACTATTTCTGTGTCTTCTTTTTATTGTAAGTGTGTGTATTTGTTTTTCTTTTTTTTTTGTAACTAATTCTAATTGTTATTTAATTAATATAAATAATAATATTACTGTAGTTGTAGTTGTGCAATTTTGTCGAATTGATTTGAATTGAAACAAATGGACAAATTTGTTTTAAATTAATGAAACATTTTTAAAAAGCGAAACAATTAAAAGTATTTCCATCATAAAAGGAGAGGAGGATCTTTGTTTTCTTTAAATACATAGTTAAAACTTTATATAACTTTTTGTATATGTAAGCGTTCATTTTTTTCTCTTAATTTATATACAAAATGCATTTTCTTTTTTAATATATAAAAGCAAAAATTATATATTTTTATTCACATTACAAAACAAAATCTCATCGTTTATACAACAACTTTAAAAGATAACCCCTTATATTTTTGTTATATACTCCTAATGGTATATAAATTCCATTTCCAAGTTATTTTCCCATCTAACCCCCCACATGTCCGTCTTCATTGTTTTTTTTTTAATAAAAAAAAAAGAAAAAACCAATAAAAATATTATTAAAATATCCTTAAATACAAATTTTGTATTTGTAAACAAAAACTTCAACTAAATAAAAACAAGCAATAAATAAATTAATATTTATAAACGTTGACTGTTTAATTGATTGATTGAATATTTGATATATACATATAAATATATACATACATATTAAATAAATATCGTACGTAATAATTACAATTGTATTCACCACCTTTACAAAAAAACGAATTATATGTTAAAATTCTTCTTCTTTATTGGTTAGTTTTAAGTCTTATTGTAAATCTATTTACTTATAAACGTGTTATCAGTTACAAAACAAATGACAATATAAAAAAGGGGATTGATTGTTTTTTTTAAGTCACGGCTCTGTTATAGCAGATTACCGACCAATCAACCAACCTACACCACCAAACCACCATCATGAAACTTCTAATTAATGGTAATTGGAGATAAACGACGTTCTAATCCTTAGTAATTCCTGGTTTTTAAAAACATACACAACTATATATTTAATCCATTTAGAAGAGAAAATCCTATTTTGTTAACTTATTTGAATGCAAATAGATTTAAAATTTATACGAGTTATTTTATTTATATTATTATTGTATATTAATATGTTTGTTAATATTATTTAAAAAGCGGTTTTATTAAAATAAAACTAGAACACTTTTACCATGAGTTTTTACATTTTAAAATATTTTATTGTATTTAGATACAATTACTTTTCAAAAGAGTTTGTCTTAAAAAACGCTCTTGTGTATATACTTTATTGAGTGATTTTCTCAAATTAACTTAATTAAACATTATTCATAAAAAGTTAACAAAGGTTTATACAATATATTTTGTATGAAAATTTGTCTTATAAACCTTTGATAAATTGTTATGAATAAAACCAATCTTTAGGTGAACGATTAGGGATTAAATTAATCCTCGAAAGTTGTTTTTGAGTACTCAGTTAACTAATTTTGTTTGCTAGTTTAAGCGCCCAAAGGAGGTGGTTTCAACTTGAGCAAGAAATGCAAAAGTGTAAACAGCTGATGCAAAAAAGATTAGTATAAATTATGGAGTCTTCAAAATAAATTTTTTTGGTTTTAATTTTAAGTTTTCATTAATTTTCATATTAAATTTACAATTGTCTTCTTCTTTTTTATAAAACATGCATTGTTTTGATAACAAACAGTGACGTTTTCTGTTGTTTTGTATGGCAATATTAATTAAATTAATTATTTTTTTTAAATTAATATAAATTTTTGTTTAATTCTTAATTTAATTATAAACATAGGAAAGACACTATCTAAAAAATGCAGATTAGTGAGTGCTTCGGAGTGAGGACTAACAACTGTTTGCAAAAATAAAGCTAATAAATCTGAAAATATACTTTAATACATATTAGTTTTAATTTTTCATGTAAATTCACATATAATTTTAATAAAACTAGGAACATTTTATATTCTGTGTTGAAATTACTATTGCCAGTTTTAAAATTTTTATATCTTATAACAGTGTCTCAGGTAGGGGCTATATCACAACAGATTCTATTAAATTTTTTTGTAATCACATTACATATTTTCTATAGTTTCGAAATTATAAAAAAAGTTATAGCTTTATTTTATAAATTTTATTGTATTTGCATTCAAATAAGTTTTACTTACAGCAAACATTATTTTCTATTGCAAAAAGAACGCTTTTGCAATAATTTCAAATAATAATATCTGTATAAAAATCCCTAAATATCCACCAAAAATCCCTCCTTAACCTTTTGAGAGAAACTTAAAATTAATATAAAAAAAATAAAACATTTGATATAATTCAAAATGTATGAAATGAAAACCTCAACTCAATTCCACAAAATCATTGTCAGTGATATATAATAAAAAAAAATTGAAAATTAACCATCACTACAAATTAAACCTTATCATCACCATAAAAAAAAACAAGAAAAAAACAACAATATCCTATTTTCCTTTTCTCTTTCTCTCTCTCTATTTATCCCTTTTTACAGCGTCGAATTGCAGAAGGCAAATCTCCAAGAGGCAAATAGTGCAACAACAGTTAATGGTACCACTGCCGCAACAAACGGAGGGCAAATCAATAGTAGCAACAGCAACACTAATCCAACAAACACAAATAATATAAACACAACAACATCCACATTAAGTAACAATATTTCGAATAGCAATAACACTAACACAACAACATCATCATCATCCCCAATAAACACAACAACAAGTGTTTTGAACTCAAACAATACATCATCTACAACATCAACATCAAACACCACACCAACACCACTAACAAATCCTTTAGCAGCAGCTGCCAGCTCATTAGCTTCAGCCATACCACTGGCCCAATTACTGGCCAAACCAGGAGCACTTAATGCCCTTACAAGTCTTACCGCCCTCGGTAGTCTGTCCGATTTATTAGGAGGTCTGGCCACATTGGGTGGTCCACCAGTCCAAACCACTGGTGTTCATCGCACCAAAACTTTTGCTTCATCACGTTTTCGAAATCATAATTCGGATGGCAGCGCCGAACCCGAAAAAGCTCGAAACAAATTCAATCCCTATTGAAACAACCACTAAGAAGACTATGAAGTGTGCTGAGTATTACAATAAAAAAAAAAAGTAAAATTGGGGTTTCTTATTTATATTAAAAGAAAATAACAAAAAACAAAAGAAAAAATATGCAAAATGCAACCAAAATTTTTAGAAGCTTTAGATTTTTACAAAAAGTAACAAAAAAGTTGTAAAACATTAAAAATATTTAATTCGTCGTATATGTAGTTTGTAGAAAGATCTTTTAGGAATAAGTCTTGCCGACTTAAATTTTATTTCTATTTTATAGTGTAGAATTGAATTTATACACTTGACTTATTTTATCAAAAATGACAAGAAAAAAAGTAACTTTCCTTCCCAATCCCCCCCTCTCTCTCTCTATAATTCTCTTTCTATATGTATGTTATATAGATTTAAATACCCGTTTTCTATCTCCCTTTATCACTTACTCTCTCTCGTTTATATATTTATAGGGTTTTTTTCTAAAATCTACTTTTAAGTCTAAATTAAACCAAATTAAAAAAAGTCTAATAAAAATTTATTTTTTAATAGTATGACAAAAATTATACATAATTATTTTATTACATCATCTGAAATGAATAGTTAAGAATAAAGATTTTAAACATTTTGATAATAGAAAATGTATGAAAAAACAAAAGAAGTTATAAAGAAACTATAATAGATATAGAATCTTTCCTTTTTTATAAAAATTTTCATCAGAAGGTTTTCTCCTGTTTGTTATAATATGCAAGATATAACAGCTTTATTATTACATAATAAAAACCATTCTAAACGGAATGTGTAACTGTTATGTATCCACCATCTTTTTTAAAATTTCATTAAAATGTCATCTCTGTTGACATTTTCTGTTATACTTTTTAAACATTTTTGGAAAATAATTATTTAAAAGTTTGTTTTGTTAAATTAATAGAATGTTATAAATAAAGACTTTAAAGTTACAGGAAACTAATGGAATATCTATGTATATTCACGTTAATGTTTAAAATATTTATCTTTAATTATTTATTCATTTAAATAAGCTTTAAAACTCTTAATCAATAGATTATAATACTTTACATACATAAAAAATATCTAAATATCACTGCTCTTTATCAAATTTACATGTATACATACGACAACATATTGATATCAATTACTTTACTCCAAATAAATACATACATACATATTTATGATATTAATAATATTTACACATGCATATATATATACACACATTTATTTTTATTTTATTTAAATCTATAAAGATTTTGTTATGACAATATTACAAAAGGCGTTATGTTTATTAGTCTCTAATGTGCATTTTGTTAATTCAAGTGATTAATCTAATTAGCAACACCCATTAGCCAAGGATTCATAAAGTGTGGAAATTTTTAAAATAATAATAAATTCTTATCTGAGCTATGTTATACTAACATAGTAGTTGTTGTATTCAAAATAATAGGAAGTTCTTTCATTTAAAGTTTTCTTTAAACTATTTATAACAAATAGTTTGGCAACAACATTACGTTCAAACATGTTGATGAATAAGTCATCTTGCTCTTGAGAAATGGTGTATTGGACAGCAAATTATACTAATTTTTTAATCTCTAGGAATTAGTCATACACTTTCCATGAGGGTTTCCATATACTACTCGATAATTTTAAAGAGTTATTAAATAAAATGGAAGATATAGCAAAAATGTAACTCTAAAATATCGATTAGTTGAGTATGGAGTTTCGAAAAAAAAATGAAAATATTAATACTCAATGTCTACTTATTATTTAGCCGGCACTAGACTCGTAACCATTTACCCTGATTTAGTAGTATATATTTTAGCGGGCTGCTTATAAATTTATCCCCGAAAAATTTGTATTAGTTTCACCACTACAGACACAGGATTATAGCCCGTACTTTTTCTAGTTTGAATGGTAATTGATCAAAATGTTCATTGTTCATAACTAACTCGATTAACGTCTTACGCAGTCGGCATTCTTTCTATGAAACGTTTTTGAAAGCAGTCAGTAGTTTTTATTCGAATTTTTTAACCTGAAAACTAGTTTAGAAAACATATGAATACATCTTCGTTAGAACTATTCTTAAAAAAGCACAAATTCTGAGAAAGATTAGAAAAATTATTGGATCAATTATATTTAGAAAATTTATGGCGGGTTTTTTCAGATAAAGATAATCTAAATTCTTTGTCTAAACCTAGTTTAATCGATGTTTTGTGTTTTTCAGTAATCAGTTACGTTAATTATAATCTTAGTTTAACTGAGTGTTATTAGCCAATTAAACCTAAGTTATAAGTGAGAAAACATAATCAACAAAAACAATAAAACAATCAATTCGGAAGAAGAAAAACTTCTTTAAATAAATAGTAATTTTCTGATTTGTTTTATCAATATAGTTTTTGTTTTAAATTTTTTCTGAAAATGTTCATTTTACAAAAGTAATATTTGCAAAAAAACAGCTGTTAATTGTTTATGTTTTTGATTAATAAGGGCGAGTTTTTCTGATAAAGATAATCTTCATTCTTTGGTTAAACCTGGTTTATTATATGTTTCGTGTTTTTCAGTTATCAGTAAAGTTACATATTATCTTAGTTTAACTGAGTGTAATTGGCCAATTAAACTCAAGTTATAAGTGAGAAAACACAATTAACAAAAACAATAAAACAATGATTTCGGAAGAACAAAAACTTAATATTTTAAGTAAATTGCAATTTTCTGATCTGTTTTGTTTTATTTATTATTGTTTTAAATGTTTATTTAACATTTTTCCAAAATTTTCTATTTTACAAAAGTATTGTTTGCAAAAAACAGCTGTTCATTGTTTATGTTTTTGAGTAAAAACTTGGCAATACTAACAAAGTTAACTGAGCTTAAATCTAAAACTGAAAAACACAATCATCGGTTAAAGTCCGCCTAAATTTGTTCCGAGTTTAATCTAACAGCAAGTTAAGCCTAGTTTAACTAAGGAGTAAGAAACCCGCCCTAAGTTGGCAATACTAACAAAGTTAACTGCTCTTAAATCTATAACTGAAAAACACAATCATAGGTTAAAGTCCGTCTTAATTTGTTCCGGAATAATCTTGCTGTTAGATTAAGCCTAGTTTAACCTAATAGTAAAAAACCCGCTCTTACTGACAATAACAAGTGTATTATATATACCAATCGAAATAATTTCAATTCCTTGTTAATATAACTTTCGATTTTGTTTTAGCTTCTCCAGATTCCGAATTATTTTGTTAAGTACCAAACAAATTATATTAATTTTATTTAAAATTGCTTCTATTTAGCTTATCAAAACAAGAATCAAGTTTTTAATAAAGGTTTTTATTAAAACTTTAAGAAATAACATTATTTATATACAAATTTCAATTCCACTTTAAAAGCTAAAGAGCTTCAATTGTTTGTTTTTTGAAGAAGCAAAATAATTCCACTTTCGATCGGGATAGAATTCTGTGATGAAAATATTGTAATATTTTGATATTTGAAATATTTTGAAATCTTATTTTTTATAATTTGTTGACATTTTATTCAACTGATTTTATGAAGTTCTTTCGGAACTAATGTAGTACCGGAAATAACTAGTGTGTGGTACTAATGCCAATGAACTAGTTCATTAAAAACACTATAAAAGTAATATGGAATCTCAACAATTTTCCACAGAACGTGTTCCAGAAGTAAGGACGATACACTAGCTCCAAGTTTTCTTTTCAAGAATCTGAACTGTATGTATGAACCAGTTAATTTAGAACAAATTTTAAAATTAAAAAACAAAAATTATTGAATTACATGACCCATTATCCTAAAACTACTTCTCTGAAAACATTATTGGTGTACAAGATCCGTTTAGTAGTCCTAGGTAATGCGGGCATAGACCATGTACATTGTTTTTGAAAACAATATGGTCCATACAGTGCATTACATGGGACCATGTTGTGCATCATGTACTGCCATGATTTTAGCAAAGGAGTAGATATGCGATTATGTTGAAAGGATATCACAATGTTTAATAGAATATTTCATATATTTGGAATAGTTTTGGACCAATCCTAGTCTTTTGGGTACTCTTTACACGCGTTTGCGGAGTAGTCTAATTTTTGCAGGGGAATTAAACTTTTGATATAATTCCTAGAGAATGATTTTAAAGAATTTCATGTTAAGCCCAAATGAAATTTTATTTAAAATAGAATGCCTTTTGTAATAATGTCCTTCTAGCTAGAATAACAAAATAAATGACAAAACTCTTGACATTTTCGAATACATGTGCTGTGTATTATTAAAAATTTTAATATGTATTTTGATTTTATAATTTAAATATGACCATGATATAAAACAATCTTTCTGTGTAGTAAACAACTTAAAGCTAAATGATTAAAAGGTAGTAGATGCTTTGAAAATTTAGTCAATTAAAAGAATTTTAATTTGATTTAAAATAAAAATATTCTCTCATTAAAACACATTTTTTTGGCAAAACTTTATTAAAAAGTTCTTAATTTTTTGTTCTTTTTTAATTTATTTAAAAACTTTCTACAGCTTTATTATTATTTTCTATCTGTTTTAAGGAAAAGCAATCAATGTGTGTTTAGATAAAACTTTAAATTATTATAAATATGCCAAAAATTATAGAAACAAATATGGAAGAGGAGATGGACAAAAATTTGTATGTAGAAGACCATGACTTGTATTTTATATACATATATAAATACAGACGTACAATATTAAATATTAAAACTACATTTAGAAAACTTATACAAAGTATAAGAGACAATTTTTCAATAATGTTAGAAAACAAAAAGTAAAACACAATACGCAGACGATATTAGAATAAAGGATTTAAATTAAATTCATAATTAAAGCAAAACAAAAAACATAAATCTATGTATTTCCTTGCATAGTAACAACATTAAATTAGTTATAAAAATTAATACACATATACATACATAATATTCATAATATACACCTATATACATATAAACATACATGCTTACATACATACAAATTATTCATAAATATTTTCATCATTAATGCATTAAATCATAATTATTATTAATACATATAATAGTGCACTTGTGAAATTTTTATTGTATTGATTAGAGTAAAACCACAAAACCAATTTAATAAGGCATTATTCGAAATACATACACACATACTTACATACATACATATATACATACAACAATGTTCACTTAATTATTAAAAAAAAAGAAAAATTAAATTTTGTAGACTAAATAATTAAGATAAAAACAAAATTGTTTAATACAAATCAAACTTCTTAAAGAAGTTCAAATTCCAGTTATTTAAAAATTTAATAAGGACCAATTCGCTCATAATTAAAATTATTATTAATAATTAATTATTAAAATTATAATTAAATTTAAATATATAAAATAATTACAAAACCTTGACAATTTATAGATTTGATATTTAAACGGACTTTTGTAAGCTGACAACATATTTGTCAAATATACTTGGATTTTTATAAACAAAAAATTTATAAAAATAAAAAACTTAACTTTTTGCCAACCTTAATGAAAACTTTTTACATTGCAAAATTTTAAATATATATTGAAATATTTTTATATTTTGGCATCTAAATTTATTTAAGACAGCAAAGACTAAAAGTCTTTAAAAGCTTTCTTGTTTTACAATTTTTTATTGTATTTATTTATATTATAACTCCTTTTTTTTGTTTGTTAAATTTTATAAATAATTTCTTTTTGTTAAAATTTAATTTACTAAATTTAAGTAATTGCTAAACAAAATTTACTCCAAATTAATGTATTATTTTCATTTTATTTAAGTGTAATATACTACATATATTTTTTTAGTTTAAAATGTGACAAATTTAAATGTTTTTTTTTTTTCTTTTTATTATTTATTTTTAAACTATATGCTAAAATACATAATTTTGTTGATTGTTTCTGTTATTTGAATAAAGTTTTGTTTTTTTTTTTGTATTTTTTAAACGTGTATGAAATGTGATTACAATGATCTTTTTCTATTATTGTGTAATACAAATTTCTAAGGCTGTCTAGCGTAATATTAATATTTTTTTTTTTTAGTTTTGTTTTGTAAATGTATTGTATGTATACCTAATAATATTATTAATATTGATAGAAAAACATTCATATTAATTGTTTGTATTGTATTTTTAATTATTTATCTTTTTACTGGTCAAATACTTTATGTTCATTACAAAATCCGTTAAAAGAAAATAAACAAAATATTAAATTTGTCACATTTTAAACTAAAAAAATATATGTAGTATATTACACTTAAATAAAATGAAAATAATACATAATTTGGAGTAAATTTTGTTTAGCCAATTACTTAAATTTAGTAAATTAAATTTTAACAAAAAGAAATTATTTATAAAATTTAACAAACAAAAAAAGGAGTTATAATATAAATAAATACAATAAAAAATTGTAAAACAAGAAAGCTTTTAAAGACTTTTAGTCTTTGCTGTCTTAAATAAATTTAGATGCCAAAATATAAAAATATTCAATATATATTTAAAATTTTGCAATGTAAAAAGTTTTCATTAAGGTTGGCAAAAAGTTAAGTTTTTTATTTTTATAAATTTTTTGTTTATAAAAATCCAAGTATATTTGACAAATATGTTGTCAGCTTACAAAGTCCGTTTAAATATCAAATCTATAAATTGTCAAGGTTTTGTAATTATTTTATATATTTAAATTTAATTATAATTTTAATAATTAATTATTAATAATAATTTTAATTATGAGCGAATTGGTCCTTATTAAATTTTTAAATAACTGGAATTTGAACTTCTTTAAGAAGTTTGATTTGTATTAAACAATTTTGTTTTTATCTTAATTATTTAGTCTACAAAATTTAATTTTTCTTTTTTTTTAATAATTAAGTGAACATTGTGTATGTATATATGTATGTATGTAAGTATGTGTGTATGTATTTCGAATAATGCCTTATTAAATTGGTTTTGTGGTTTTTACTCTAATCAATACAATAAAAATTTCACAAGTGCACTATTATATGTATTAATAATAATTATGATTTAATGCATTAATGATGAAAATATTTATGAATAATTTGTATGTATGTAAGCATGTATGTTTATATGTATATAGGTGTATATTATGAATATTATGTATGTATATGTGTATTAATTTTTATAACTAATTTAATGTTGTTACTATGCAAGGAAATACATAGATTTATGTTTTTTGTTTTGCTTTAATTATGAATTTAATTTAAATCCTTTATTCTAATATCGTCTGCGTATTGTGTTTTACTTTTTGTTTTCTAACATTATTGAAAAATTGTCTCTTATACTTTGTATAAGTTTTCTAAATGTAGTTTTAATATTTAATATTGTACGTCTGTATTTATATATGTATATAAAATACAAGTCATGGTCTTCTACATACAAATTTTTGTCCATCTCCTCTTCCATATTTGTTTCTATAATTTTTGGCATATTTATAATAATTTAAAGTTTTATCTAAAACACACATTGATTGCTTTTCCTTAAAACAGATAGAAAATAATAATAAAGCTGTAGAAAGTTTTTAAATAAATTAAAAAAGAACAAAAAATTAAGAACTTTTTAATAAAGTTTTGCCAAAAAAATGTGTTTTAATGAGAGAATATTTTTATTTTAAATCAAATTAAAATTCTTTTAATTGACTAAATTTTCAAAGCATCTACTACCTTTTAATCATTTAGCTTTAAGTTGTTACTACACAGAAAGATTGTTTTATATCATGGTCATATTTAAATTATAAAATCAAAATACATATTAAAATTTTTAATAATACACAGCACATGTATTCGAAAATGTCAAGAGTTTTGTCATTTATTTTGTTATTCTAGCTAGAAGGACATTATTACAAAAGGCATTCTATTTTAAATAAAATTTCATTTGGGCTTAACATGAAATTCTTTAAAATCATTCTCTAGGAATTATATCAAAAGTTTAATTCCCCTGCAAAAATTAGACTACTCCGCAAACGCGTGTAAAGAGTACCCAAAAGACTAGGATTGGTCCAAAACTATTCCAAATATATGAAATATTCTATTAAACATTGTGATATCCTTTCAACATAATCGCATATCTACTCCTTTGCTAAAATCATGGCAGTACATGATGCACAACATGGTCCCATGTAATGCACTGTATGGACCATATTGTTTTCAAAAACAATGTACATGGTCTATGCCCGCATTACCTAGGACTACTAAACGGATCTTGTACACCAATAATGTTTTCAGAGAAGTAGTTTTAGGATAATGGGTCATGTAATTCAATAATTTTTGTTTTTTAATTTTAAAATGTGTTCTAAATTAACTGGTTCATACATACAGTTCAGATTCTTGAAAAGAAAACTTGGAGCTAGTGTATCGTCCTTACTTCTGGAACACGTTCTGTGGAAAATTGTTGAGATTCCATATTACTTTTATAGTGTTTTTAATGAACTAGTTCATTGGCATTAGTACCACACACTAGTTATTTCCGGTACTACATTAGTTCCGAAAGAACTTCATAAAATCAGTTGAATAAAATGTCAACAAATTATAAAAAATAAGATTTCAAAATATTTCAAATATCAAAATATTACAATATTTTTCATCACAGAATTCTATCCCGATCGAAAGTGGAATTATTTTGCTTCTTCAAAAAACAAACAATTGAAGCTCTTTAGCTTTTAAAGTGGAATTGAAATTGTATATAAATAATGTTATTTCTTAAAGTTTAATAAAAACCTTTATTAAAACTTGATTCTTGTTTTGATAAGCTAAATAGAAGCAATTTTAAATAAAATTAATATAATTTGTTTGGTACTTAACAAAATAATTCGGAATCTGGAGAAGCTAAAACAAAATCGAAAGTTATATTAACAAGGAATTGAAATTATTTCGATTGGTATATATATACACTTGTTATTGTCAGTAAGAGCGGGTTTTTTACTATTAGGTTAAACTAGGCTTAATCTAACAGCAAGATTATTCCGGAACAAATTAAGACGGACTTTAACCTATGATTGTGTTTTTCAGTTATAGATTTAAGAGCAGTTAACTGTTGTTAGTATTGCCAACTTAGGGCGGGTTTCTTACTCCTTAGTTAAACTAGGCTTAACTTGCTGTTAGATTAAACTCGGAACAAATTTAGGCGGACTTTAACCGATGATTGTGTTTTTCAGTTTTAGATTTAAGCTCAGTTAACTTTGTTAGTATTTGCCAAGTTTTTACTCAAAAACATAAACAATGAACAGCTGTTTTTTGCAAACAATACTTTTGTAAAATAGAAAATTTTGGAAAAATGTTAAATAAACATTTTAAACAATAATAAATAAAAACAAAACAGATCAGAAAAATTGCAATTTACTTAAAATATTAAGTTTTTGTTCTTCCGAAATCATTGTTTTTATTGTTTTTGTTAATTGTGTTTTCTCACTTATAACTTGAGTTTAATTGGCCAATTACACTCAGTTAAACTAAGATAATATGTAACTTACTGATAACTGAAAAACACGAAACATATAATAAACCAGGTTTTAACCAAGAATGAAGATTATCTTTATCAGAAAAACTCGCCCTTATTAATCAAAAACATAAACAATTAACAGCTGTTTTTTTGCAAATATTACTTTTGTAAAATGAACATTTTCAGAAAAAATTTAAAACAAAAACTATATTGATAAAACAAATCAGAAAATTACTATTTATTTAAAGAAGTTTTTCTTCTTCCGAATTGATTGTTTTATTGTTTTTGTTGATTATGTTTTCTCACTTATAACTTAGGTTTAATTGGCTAATAACACTCAGTTAAACTAAGATTATAATTAACGTAACTGATTACTGAAAAACACAAAACATCGATTAAACTAGGTTTAGACAAAGAATTTAGATTATCTTTATCTGAAAAAACCCGCCATAAATTTTTCTAAATATAATTGATCCAATAATTTTTCTAATCTTTCTCAGAATTTGTGCTTTTTAAGAATAGTTCTAACGAAGATGTATTCATATGTTTTCTAAACTAGTTTTCAGGTTAAAAATTCGAAATAAAAACTACTGACTGCTTTCAAAAACGTTTCATAGAAAGAATGCCGACTGCGTAAGACGTTAATCGAGTTAGTTATGAACAATGAACATTTTGATCAATTACCATTCAAACTAGAAAAAGTACGGGCTATAATCCTGTGTCTGTAGTGGTGAAACTAATACAAATTTTTCGGGGATAAATTTATAAGCAGCCCGCTAAAATATATACTACTAAATCAGGGTAAATGGTTACGAGTCTAGTGCCGGCTAAATAATAAGTAGACATTGAGTATTAATATTTTCATTTTTTTTCGAAACTCCATACTCAACTAATCGATATTTTAGAGTTACATTTTTGCTATATCTTCCATTTTATTTAATAACTCTTTAAAATTATCGAGTAGTATATGGAAACCCTCATGGAAAGTGTATGACTAATTCCTAGAGATTAAAAAATTAGTATAATTTGCTGTCCAATACACCATTTCTCAAGAGCAAGATGACTTATTCATCAACATGTTTGAACGTAA